ATATATATATATATATAAAAGCATGTTCTTATAATAAAATAAAAAAACAATACTTTAAAGTTACAAAGTCATTTTAAAGTAGGCCAGTACCAACAGCTGATCCATTACAGCACTATTAACTGCTATTTATACTAATAAAGGCCTCAACTTTCTTTTGATTATACATCTGCCTTTCTTTTATATTAATTATATGCAATAATAAATTAAAATTCTCAGAAAAAAAACAGTGCACTTTACTGCCAGTGTTTACACATCGTGATCCCAGGCTGATTGAATTCAGATTGTAGGTTGTGAGGAGTAGGCATGCCCTAATTTAAAATTCCACGAAATATAAATGCATCAAATACACTATTCATGTGCTTTGTTCTCAAAGCTTGACAAATAAGCTGTCTAGATTAGAACAAAATATGTGCTACAACCTCCACACCATTAATTCCCATTTACAGAGTGCTAAATATAAAAACACAACAGCAGTGTTAATGAAGCAAGTTCTTGTTCAGGCTGGAAAAAAAAAACACTTGAGAAGCAATGCAACAGCATTTCCTACTACATGGCTGATTAGCTAATGTAAATGAATGACTTTTCATTATCTGTTCTGTATGGCAGAAGATAATCATGATCAAACCTCGCGCACAGACATAACAACATCACCGCTGGATAGCCACTGGAAATGGTGCTATAATTTCCGTAATAGAGCATTTCAACATGGCAGCTTGGTGCCCTTCTGTACAACATGATTATGTGACCAACAGCCTACTTCTTCTCTATAGGCTATTTTGATCATTAATTGAAGGAATGTGCATGGCAGCATTAATTAACACATCGAGGGGAAGGGGGAAAAAGAAAACAGCATGTGAGATCAGCACATTTAATGACCTAGCAATATAATTCAGCTACACATCCTGCCTACCCAAGTATTAGTGTTCGCTGCTTCAGCAGGATTCATAGCCACTGCAGCTAGCCAGAGGAAAAAGGTGTGTGTGTGTGTGTGTGTAGGGAGAAGGGGGGTAGTATGGCAGATTTAAAGGAATAAACAGCAAAGCCCTTCATAGCTCTCTGCCTAATAAAGCATCTGTTAAACCAGTAAAATGAAGCATTTCCATTGTGTTTAATTAGCTCCGCCAGACTAATGCAGCCTTCCTTATCTAGCAAAAGTCAGCCCAGGAGCTGGCCATTGTGCTGAACGTTCCTATGCTTTGCGTTATATAGCAGGGATGCTCACATCCCCTCCATCTCTGTCTGGATGCAAGAAATCAAAGGGTACAATCACAATGAAATGTCTCAGCACAGCCATGTTTGTAAGCAGCCTGGACTATAGCAAGGCATGAAGATCTTCTTTCCATTTGCAGATGTGTGTACGTGTCTCTTAAACTGAACCATTTATTTAGCAGGAGCCCCGGTAAACGTTCATTAAAGAAGGTGCCTGCCCTGACACATGTAATACATTCATCAACCCAAGGCTGGCACCCAGCATTTAATCTCTGTCACTTGGATGAGCAGTGAAAATGCACACATGTATGTATGTGTATAATAGAAGATCGCTCTTACCATTGGATGACAGAATGAAGCAGGAATATCCACACGATCATCTTGTGATGAAAAAAGCCTAGACCGAACGACGCATCGCTTCCAAAATTTGGCTTCTTTGGTGAACACATCTCTGCCATTCCCCCCCTTCAATCTCGTCTCTTTGTTGCAAATGGAATAGTCACTTTGTGTGCCCCCCCTCTCCGCCCCCTACCAGGTACATTGACTGTGATGATACATTCCGCCAGGCTGGGAGAATTCAAATTTAAGAAATGAGATCCGCTTTACGCGGCGGCAGAATTCCCCCCTCCAGCCCCCCAGCAGCGCTCCGCAGCTCATGCACCCGCACCCCTCGTGTGAGCGATCTGAAGGAGAAGCCAAAGGGGAGCGAGGAGCCGCGCACACACATACACAGCGAAGCTGTCAGGGAGAAAGCGTCTCAGTCTGAATGCAGATTAACTACGAGGTCAAAGTGGAATGTATGCACGCTGCTGCAGCGCTAAAGATTAACACATGCGTGATGTCTACCCACATGATTCCTAACCTTCCACTATACATGTAGTCACAGGACTAGAAGCAGCCTGCTCAGCTACCCCTAAATGTGTGATTGGCCGTGGATAGGAATACTGTACATACTCACACGCATGTGTAATCTAACAATGATGCATTGCTGATTACACAAAGTGCCATCTCCAATGCACTTTTACTAAAGTAAATCAATAAAGGCAAAGAGTGAATTTATCAAAACTGGTGCAGTTGCCCAGTTTTTTTCATTTTCAGACCTTAACTGAACAAACTAAAGGAGCTGATTGGTTGCCATGGGCAACTGCTCCAGATTCTGCATGTTCCAGTTTTGAA